TAATTAATCTGTAATTTAAATATCACATCCACTGTAAGGTCAATAGTAATTAATCTGTAATTTAAATATCACATCCACTGTAAGGTCAATAGTAATTAATGTGTAACTTACATATCACATCCACTGTAATGTCAATAGTAATTAATCTGTAACTTACACATCACATCCACTGTAAGGTCAATAGTAATCACTCTGTAACTTACATATCACATCCACTGTAAGGTCAATAGTAATTACTCTGTAACTTACATATCACATCCACTGTAAGGTCAATAGTAATTACTCTGTAACTTACATATCACATCCACTGTAATTTCTAGTTCCTTGCTCTCTCCAACATCATTTTTTGCTCTACAACTATAAACTCCAGAATCACTTCTTCTAATGGGAGAAAAAGTTAGCTCCTCTTTGATGCTGTGCACATTGGCATGACCAGATATTTTCCACATAATGCTAGCCTTTGGATTAGCATCTGCTAAACATCTGAGAGAAAGCGACTTGCCTTCCTCAACTTCCTCTTTCGGGTTACCCTCTAATTGGATTTCTGGGGGATCTAAAAAAAAAGGTTGATCTCAATTAAACTAACAAGGGTTATATCTCTGTAATACGCATAACAGTTATTTTTCATGAATTAGATAAAACCCAGTTAGCAACAGAGCTACGTGAAAATATACTTACAATCTCTTTACAAGTGTCTGTAAAAACATTTATGTTCAGATATGTGGCCAGGCCATATTGTACTCTAAATTATGTGCAAAAAGAAAATCCATTTCTAAAACTTCTTTATAATTAAAATTCTTTTATTTTTTTAAATATTCAAATATTGCATACTTTAGTGGCCATGTTTTCATTCACTATCTTCTATTTGCTATGTAAGAAAATCATTACTAATACATTTCTGAAACATATCTGTTTCTAGGATTTTAAACATATATGTGAACAACGATAAATAATCAACTATCTTCTTTATATTCTCTGGTAATTATATGTGAAAAATATGCTGATATTTTTTGTGACAATTATATTTACCTTGATTTTACAAACATGTGACTTTACAGAACTGAGTTCTGTATGAAAAAGCAAGTAGGATAAGGTCGGGCTAATTAGAGAGGGGCCCAGGCCTAGGATAAGGTCGGGCTAATTAGAGAGGGGCCCAGGCCTAGGATAAGGTCGGGCTAATTAGAGAGGGGCCCAGGCCTCAGATTTAGACACTTGTTGTTTTTTTGCATTTGTTAAGATTTGCGACTTGTTTTTATGCGTCTCCCATTCAGACCAAACTATGACAGACTCTTAGCTTGGAGCTGCAAATTATATATTCAAATTTTGTTTCACTTTTCTTTTGGGCTAACGATTGTCTTATTATGTTTTCATGTGACATCATTTTTCATTATAGCCACAGGCCTCAAAAGATAGAAGTGGCCTGGGCCTGGGATAATGTAATGGAATATCCAACACAGGAAGATCACTGTAATAAAAAGTTAATGTAATTTCACATTAATGTCAAGAATGTAACAAGTAACGTTCAAAGGAAGGTCCAGATAAATTGTTCCTAATACATATAAAGATATTGAGTTCTCAAGACACACACACTAAGGTTCTCACTCACATTGCAAGTCCAGACGAGCATGGGTTTCCCGCGAGTTGGTATCATAACCTTTGTGAAGGGCCACGCATCTTAACAGCTTGCCATTATGAATCTTTTGAAATGTGTAGTACAGGATACTGACAGCCTGCCACGTTTTATGCTTTTCAATATCGGTTGTGTTGGTCTGATTGGCCATGGCTGTTATCTCTTCATCCTCAAGAAACCACTTCAACTCTGCTGGAGGGTTTCCCTTTCTGGACACACAATTCAATTTTGTAGGCTGTCCTACCTTTGTGGTGAAATTGCTACCTGGTTGAATCTGAATAGTACTGTCTTCTAGTTGTGGTGGTCGAGGAGTTTCTACAGACGGGAAAAAAAAAATATAACAAGGACTGCTAATAAAAATATTGATATCTCATCCAGTGTTTAGTGTAGCTGATTTTCTATCTTCCTCAGAAATTGTCAACAGGCTAAAGGAAAGTTTGTTTAAAATGTTAGCTCCAATAAAAACTCAAAGCAAGAGATCAACGTACCTGAAGTACTTTTAATTTCTGTTTATCACCCATGTTACAAAAGACTGACCCTTCTAGAAAGAACAAGTATACAAGTTTTAATATTACAGAAATACCTGAAAAAATAGAGGAATAAATCAAAAGATGTCGAGGCTTCGTGCATCAACTTTTTATGTTTAGCAATATACTTTATAGATCTTACTTTTCTTAAACCAATTAATCTCACCCAATCTGTTAGATTTTTTCTCAAAAACGTTTTGAGAGTGTAAAGGAGATAAAATTGAAGAAACAGACTGGTACTGAAAACTGCCATCAGAAGATAAAGATGTACCTTATTGCCTTACATACGAACGGTTCAAAGCCAAGCATCCACACGAAGATCAATGAATGAAAAATGATTATATATAGAAGTTTTATTCTTGTCAAATTTACTAATCTCTTATTACAGTATGAAACTTTATTTGATTTTAATGTCAAGATTTTCTTTTATTTTTGATGATGAGGAATCCACTTTTTATTTTGTAAAATATTATTCCTAATAACTTATCAAAAGTAAGCGAACCATAAAAATACTTCATAAATGAATGAAGCCAAATTTATATAAAATAACTGACAAAGAAGACAATGTCATAAACCAAAACACAAAACCTTAAAGTTATTTTTTTTTTAATTTGTAAAATGTCGTGTTTATTACCATCATCAACCACTGATCAAATAATGTGATTAATGACACTACATTAATAAAATGAAAAGAATATTAGACTTTATAGAAAAATTATGAAGATTCTGTCCCCCCCCCAAAAAAGAGTAATATATTCGACGGCAACAAGTTAATTCTATAAGACCCAACCTACCTCGTACAGTCAGCTTAACTTTTTCAGACTTTAATGTGGGGTCTTCTAAGGAAGTTTGGGTGACTTGGCATTGCCAATATCCATCGTCCATCTCCAAATTAGCATTTATAATTCGAATGCTGCAATCTCCGTCTGAAGGTTCTTTTTCAAAGATAAATTTATTGCTTATCCTACCCACAACCTCTCCATCTTTTAACCATGCACACTCTCCTCGTCTGTTTCTAACCCTGCAATTTAAAGTTGCCGTGGAACCAGGATCAACTTCATTGTTGCTTGGCGTTATGTCGAAATCTTGAAGGGTGTAAACTGTGCCTAGAATAAGAGGAGAGAAAAAAACTTTAAAGTAAAGGGTTCATAGGTAATGATCTGTTCAAACCATGTTATTGTATGTCTAACATTGTTATATTTTAACCATCAGACCAGATGTAGTAATGAAACAGCAGACTACGGTTTTAACTTCAGCTACCAGATCACCATTTTACTTTTATACCCATCACACCATTGTCACCACCAGACCACTGTTTTACCTCCAACAAATATCACACCAATATTTTATTTCCAGACTAATGTTTTATCATCACCTATTACCATCTTACTGCAGCCACCATCATATCATTTTAACTTAAAAAACCCATCCTGCAGTTTCTTTAATTATGTTTTAATAAGCAGAATTATGAGTTGTTTTTTTTAATTATCATTTTAGTTGGAGAACAAAATTACACAAAGAGTTATCTAAGTTGTGTCCATCAAAGGGATCAAATCCTGAATTGTAACTTACTACAGAGATGTAGTATTATTTAAATTAACAAAATGTTCAAATTTACAACTAGTAGAGTTTCTAAAAGGATCTAGAAAACAGTATTTTCTCCTATAGCTTTAACTAGAAACCTATTAACAAAACTTAACCCAATGGGAAAATGATTGACTGAAATGTTTGTCTTCTAAAGTGTTAGTCCCATATATAATCAAGTTTTGGAATGAATACAATGAAGTTTTTCTTCTGTGTGTTAGTTTAATTCTTTATATAATACTGCAAATGAAGAAAGTCATGAAGCTATAATTTGACTATGGTAAGTCTTGGTATCAAGATTAGAAAAATATTTTGTTTTTATTATGTGTGAAAATTAAAAATCACACAAATCCTTCAGAACTATGCCAAATATTACCTTGTATTTATTTTCATATTTTTTTTTCAGTACCACAAGTTAAAAACGAATGTTTTTCCAGGATTTCACGAACTTGTGTATACCCCGATGAACTAATTATCAGTTTTTCATTAATTTTCCACGGAATGCATTGTTTGTTGCATACGTTATAGGCTTAACAAGATTTCGACCAATTACACGTGCTCTAGTTATTATTACTGACTGAAAATGAATACGACAACTTACAATTTAAAAAACTACCCAGTAAATAAAAATGTCATAACGTAAACTGAAATATATAATACATGAATAATTTCATACACTGACTACACTAATATGATACGACCCCACCATTAATGGACAGTATATACAACAAAGATTATTACTGTACTTTCTGTGATCTTGCACCAGTATTTTGTATTTATGTTAAAGCTACCAAGGTTATTTGCCACTGTCCATAATTTTGAACTACTGACCAGAGGGAAGGCAGCCGGTCAGTAGCATCCATGCTTAGTGGTTGACTGTAACTCCTATAATGCACTACAGCTAAAAATCAACTGAATATTTTGTGGAAGTATAAAGAATTTTACCTGGCTCACCACCTCAAAAATCAAGAGTTCTACAAAGGGTCAACTTGTGCCCTATCTAGGAACTAACGTTTCAGGGTAAAATCCTACCAACAAGTTCATAATTTGAGGATCAACTTACATATCTTTATTCAAAAATAATCTAAAAGTAAAAAGTGTGATAAAATTTTGATTAAAATGACATATGTTAAGCAAAGGTAATTTTTAAAAAAAGTTTTTGAAACGAGCAAATAATTTATATATATTTTAATGCAAAACAAAACTGTAAATATTCAATTACATAATTTTTTTCAATTACACAATAAAGTCTAAAGAGTTTGTTGATGCTGGCTTTTAATTTTATCTTAGTCTATATATATATATATACTATTACGATCCTTAGTTATTCAATAACTTTAATATAAAAGCAGTTAACCCACTGCTGAAAGCGTGTAGAGAATACCAAATATAAGCCAGAGTTTGAAAAAGTTTACCCAAACAACTTCGTGAAAGGAACCACCAGTATTGTCTGTAACTTGTGCATGTGTGCAGACGATATCTCCATAATCATCACGTTAACCCTACACGACAGTATCTCCATGGCAAAACTACATAATACTTAATAGGACGTTATCCCCATGGTCGAAAGTTGTTTATTTTCAATAAACAAACAATGAAAACGTTTTATAACTTTTACAAATATATATTTGTATATCGATAAAAATGAAGTCATTGACATTCAATGAGTTGTAATTTAGCCAAACAATTGCAATATCTGAAACCTGTATAAAAAGCAAAACTAGATAATAGTTATAAACCTTTCAACCACGAGGATAATGCCCTACAATCTATTATTAACAATCCTGACAAGCCCTGCGGGACAATATTTAATTTTATTTTTATAACAAGTGATAGGCGCACAGTAGGGATTAAAAACAGTCAAAATTTATTTTTATATCGGCCCTCCAATGAGATCAGAGGAAGAGATTCCTGAACAAAACTAAGAGGGGCGCTGCACTTAATACTGCATAATACGTACCAGTGCTATTCATACATTTCACAGTATAAACAAAAATACATTGTACAAAATTTTTAATTTACAATCAAAATTTTATTAAATGTATTACCCGTCTTAGTAAAGTGTAGACCTACGTGACCACAAATTACATGAACTACAATTAATTCACAGAAAAAACAATTGCAAAATTGTATTACAATTAAACATTTAGCACCCATCCGAGATACAAGACATTCACGGAAAAAGTGTCTCCCGATTGAATATAAATAATCTTGAAAAAATGAAATATTTTTTAAACGGGCAGGTGGCACAATCTGCCTCTAATATGCGAAAAAAAAAACTGAGTTTAAAACAGGTGTTTTTTTCTGAAAATCATAAATATCTGTTACGAAAACGACTGAAATAGAAAACAAAATGTTTATAAAGTAGCGGAATGGAAAACAAATATTTAAACGACCCAGTTTGATCACTGGTTAAACCTATAACCAACATATACAAGACGAATGTGTTCTAATAACATACAATTGGCTTTGAACACTGTTGTACTGAAAAAGGTGCAGAGGCCATTCTTGTGTCAGTTAAAACCGGTCGAATAAACACGTGAAGGACAAGAAAGTTTTAACCTAGCCCTACTACCCTAACTAGCAATGGTGTCGAAAAGATATTCGTAATATTTTTAGATTCTCTTGAATATTTCAAATATACAAATAACATGCAATATCGGTAATCAAAGCACACAACAAACACAGCGAAAATACTCAATCGTTTGTTTTGGCGTAAACATTGGTTTTAATACAACTAGCCTTGGCCTGTGAATTAGGTGAAAAGAATAAACAACGGTTTTTAAAAGTTGAGAGTAGGCAATTCTAAAATTTGGTTTGTTTATTGTTTTGTAATTGAGCACAAAGCTACACAATGGGCTCTCCGTGCTCTGCCCACCACGAGTATCGAAACCCGGTTTCTAGCGTTTTAAGTCCGCTGTGCCACTGGGGGGCTAAAATGTGGTGTGGACAAAATCGCACTCAAGGATTTTCCATTGTCTAGAACAAATTCCCATGTGTAAAAAACAATAAAATGAAAGAAAATCCTTTCATGAGAAGAAAAATTAATTCGATAAAAACTTTCTCAGCATTTCCATGTGATGTATTATATTTTTAAACATCGTATACAAACTTTACCAACGTGTGTACAACGACTTTGTGTGTTGACAACACACTAGGTGTACAACGACTTTGTGTGTTGACAACACACTAGGTGTACAACGACTTTGTGTGTTGACATCACACTAGGTGTACAACGACTTTGTGTGTTGACAACACACTAGGTGTACAACGACTTTGTTGACAATACACTAGGTGTACAACGACTTTGTGTGTTGACATCACACTAGGTGTACAACGACTTTGTTTGGTGACAACATACTAGGTGTACAACGACTTTGTTTTATCTATAATTAAACACATACCGTTTACAAAGATCTCCAGAACAGTCATCCTACACAGTGTGACAATAGCTATCCCGATTTGTGTAGGATGACTGTTCTGGAGATCTTTATCGGGATAGCTATTGTCACACTGTGTAGGATGACTGTTCTGGAGATCTTTTGTGACAATAGCTATCCTGATAAACGATTACATACATTTCATGGCCAAAATTCTACACCGCCAACAGTTCGAAGTGTTCAAGAAGAAATATTGCAAGGCATAACATCATTTCTAAAGACGTTTTTTTTTCTCTTCATTTAAACATGATATTAAAGCAATCTACTTAAGAGTATCTGTATAGTTAGATACGATGTTTTTTTTCGATAATCCATTAAACTGTTATTACAATTTTCGGTGACGTTTCTCAACCTGTTTAAATGAACTGGAATAATATTTTTTTTTCAGGTTCAAATACTTTATATAAAACTCATGGTTACCGGAAGGAAGCACTACAGCGTTTTCTGCTGTGAAACTTTCCACCTACTCGGGGCAGGATGTCGGGATGGTTCTCTATGGTTGACGAAAGACAACAGAACAGGGTCACGGATAAAAAACAATACAAATCAAATACACTAGGCTTTTCTCACAGAACGGAAGTAATAGAGTGAACACCAGAAAGTCCTCGGAATAATGATTCAACAGAAAAAGTTTAAGCCTCGTCTATAACAGGCTAGGTTTTGTATAAGTATAAAGGCTGATGAAAAATGCGTTTCCTGTATTAATTCAAGGGTATAAATCCACTTATATATTATACTTTTTTTTTTTATTCGTGTGGTGTCCACAGATCAAACTATTTATGCTAAGATCTGTCGGTACGTTGTTCTGAGTTAGCACCTGATCAATCACTTTTATATAGCCCCCCAGTGGTACAGCAGTATGTCTGCGGACTTACAACGCTAGAATCCGGGTTTCGATACCCGTGGTGGGCAGAGCACAGATAGCCCATTGTGTAGCTTTGTGCTTAATTACAAACAAACATCACTTTTATATCGAATCTCTTGTCAATATATATACACACACACACAGAAATGTTGACTATGTCAAAGATACGATTTCACTGGATGTCTGGGGTTTTAACCGACATCACCTATATTATATTCCTTCTTAGTCTTTTTAACTAATAGTCAAAACACTTTTTTTTCAATGCGTTAGAATCGCGTGTACTCATGAAGCTCACGGTCTATGGTTGTGATCTACATAATTCATTAAGTATTTAATCCTCAAATTATTGACTTGTTTTATATCCTTTTTATACAGTATTGGGTTAAATCTATAATAAAACCTACCAGTAACTAGTACGATTAATTCGAATATTGATGCACCCCTTCCACTAACTTGAAAAACAGAAATTCCAGGGTTTTCAGGGCATTAGTTTTGGTAGTACCATTCAAAAACGTATAACATCAATGTACGTTCATACACCAAAACATTGTTGATGGTTCTTTTTATTTACAAAAAAAGTGTGTCCCGAATGTCACCAGGAATCCTGTAAAGTCATGCATTTACAAGCAATAATTTAGGAAAATGTGTTTATAAACCTGATGGATTAAAGTTTAGTTGTACCGCAGTGCATTATTCGGCTTTGAAAATGTTGTAATCACACTGAAAGATGTTATACTAACGTCGGAATTATTTAATCTCAATATATACAGTGTACGTTAAATTGTTTATTTTACAGGTGAACGTGACTAGAGTCTATTGGATTTTTTTCGTTGCTAGTGTAATGTTTCCAGTAACTTTAAGAAAAACGTGTTCTTTAATATTCACGGTACAGAAATGTAATGCCTGATTAAAGTTCCAATTTATAAACATTAATTGCTGAACCACCAGACAGATGTCTCTCCGTTCGAAAAATGTAAACCGAATTTCATTTATTGTTAAGAGCAAAGATATATAAAGAACTCTTGGTACTGTACCCACCATAAAGGTCGAATCCTGATTTTTAGCGTTACTAAAGACCCCAACTTACTTCGCTCGTAAATTCGCTAATTTCATTTAATAAAATATGTCTGTTTCTAACTTAGAACCTAAACCACGTTAATTAATTTTTCTTTATGAAATTCTCTGAATAGAGTATTAAAAAAAAAAAAGAGAGAGTTTGGAGACGGCTTGAATATGTAATGAGAAAAACTTTATTGTAAATATACATCGTTTTGACAAGATTAAATCATCATCAGATAGTTTACATAAGCACAGGAATATATAAACCAGTAAAAATAATAACAAACTTTCTAAATGTAAAATGATGTAGGGATGATACAGCTGTACACAGATCATCCATACCTGATTTTCAATATTAAAAGTTAATGTTAGAATGTAAAATGGTTACGAGGTCTGTCAATTCGATCAACCTTGTAGCAAGTCTGTAATAATCGAGACATGTTTTGATTCAACTTTCCTTTTACGCAAGTCCTAGGTTCTTAGTTACACTACGTTGATGTTTACCTTGACATGACCATAAACAAACTACATACCAACAGTCGGGAATATATAGTTTCCAACTGCAGTACTATTAAAATGAAGTATACATTTTACAATTTAACATTAAATTATGATATTAAAGTCATGTGTGCATGATCTGCGTATAGCTGTATCATCCTATATTCTTGTTTGTATTCTTTTTTTGACACTGCCATCCCTAGATCATTTTAAATTTACAAAATGTTTTTATTACTTGTTTTGTGATGTTTTTTCCCCTGACTATAAGTTATTATATCCTATGAATGTGTGTAATAAAATTTAATATTATGTTTATTGATATCGTTTTTTACCTCTTTACTTCATACATATTATTCGGTTGACTCCCTAAAGACATCGATTGTATAGTGTACAAAGCATTGAGTATTCTACACGTTACAGTCATCTATTAATGACTGATAATTCCTGTTTCATCCTGTACTTAACCTGTTAGATAGTTAGAGAAACACCAGATTTCTGTAAAAAACTAACTTCAAGGAGTCATGATAACATCGTTTACAATAGAATAACGTGTTTCTTTATTTACTACTAATTATTATGACTAAGCGATAACATCGTGCACTGCTTGGAAAGTAGTTGTTGAGTTATCTCGACAGAAACAAGAAGAAAGATGAACAATTGGTTTGTTTCTTAGCGATGGTTTCTTGGCTTGTTGGGTAGAGAAACAAATAAAAGTGAGTGTCAAACATCTTTTAAAGTAAAACTGTCATTGCCGAGTTTTTAGTGTCCGTATTTATATTATATCTACTGAGTAACTTGACCACCTCTACATACAGAATCTACCGAATCTATGATAATTTGTTTTCAAACGAGACCCAAAACTCGAGCGCTTTCTTATAGTTGTTTGGTTTGAATTTTGTGAAAGACTAGAGAGGAAGGCAGCTATTCATCACCATCCACCGCCAACTCTTTTTAGCAATGAATAGTGGATTGACCGTCACATTATAACACCCTCACGGCTGAAAGGG